AATATAAAATGGGGACGTTTTTTTTCCCCCCTTTTTGAGGTTTCCCCCTTCCCCCCAAAACTTTTTTTTTTTTTTTTTTTTTAAATTGAGCAGTCGTGCTTTCAGCAGCTGAACGGAGTGTGTGAATGTACAGCGCACTGTGCATGTTTCGTTGTACAGAATAGTTCTGAGGCTGTGCTGTTCAGTCTGATATTTGTGTTTATAGAAAGCACATGATGTCCATTTTTTTCCCCTCCCTCTAGTTCTCAAACTTTAGTGCTCGCTTGAGCCTCAGGGGCTACTTTGTTGTAATTTTTTTTTTTTCCTTTTAAGTATTTTTTCAGGCTGTAATTTAAACGTTCGAAACTGCAAAACTGTTTGTATAATAAAGTTTTAAGATGGTGTTGATATTCCCCCTGTGGCACAGAGCTTGTATATAACAGGGAAGGCTACTGCAGTACGGTCATTTTTTTTTTTTCCTCGTGTGTTCATTTTTTTTTTTTTTTTTGGTTTGTTTTGTTTTAACTTTGTAATTAAAATATCCCATAATTTGTATTTATATTTTACAAAAGAAGTTGCTTTAAAATAAATATACAAACTGCAAGTTGAACCAAACTCCCAGTTTTTGTGTCATTCATTAATCTCAGATGTCAGCTTGTGATGCGTGTCAAAACCGCTTTTCATGCCTAATTACCCAGCATGTGACCGCGGTGTGAACACGGTGCTATACTGCCCCCTCTTGGAAAAAGGATGCCTAGCAAGTTATTGCCGCGGTCTTGAAAGAACACTGCCGCCTCTCTTCCGACGACAAGCGGAATCTGTTGGTCTCAAAGCGCCCTCTGGTGGACACAACTCCAAACAAATTACAAATGAGAATAGCGGAAAATCCAGTCTCCAGAGTTGAAGTTTATTACAACAGCCTTTAATTTGGACCCAACAATAGCATCTTAAAGAGACAAAGGAGCGTGTATTGTCTACACCTGTAATGTGAAAGAGGTTTTTAAATCTCTCATGTCCTGTGTTGACTATTTTGAGATAAAAGACTGCTCAATACCTTCCACAGCCCTTTCCTGACAAAGGTTTAACTTAGAAACATGCTCAATGCAGTAGGATTGTTTTACCTGGGCCTTTGAAAGTCTCATGCAGTAATTTTCCATTTCAAATAATAATAAAAAAAAGTTTACACTCATGTTCTTGGTTAATTAAGAATTAGGACCAAAAAACAAAAAAACAAACAAAAAAGCATGCAAACCTTTGTAAAGCCAAACTGCAACAACCAGAAAACCACCTTCCATTGCCTAAAGTTCCAATTAACATTTGAGCTTTAAATAACCCAACCTGCAGCTTACGCAGCTGCATCTCAACAACTATTGTTTCACTTTACATAAAGTCACTTGACAAAAGCCTCAGCTTGATAAGTAGATAGTGTCTTAACTTCTCTTCCTATCACATTTTTCACTTTTTCTATGAGCATTTCCCTCACAAAAGCAAATTGAATAATAAAACACATTAAAAATAATGTAATTCTAAAAGGTTTGATATTTAAAAAAAATATGTCAAAAAATAAACACAACTCTAAATTTCTTAATTTTTGAGGAAAAAAAATAGGTAGTAATCTTTGAGTGTTTAAATAATAATGAAACATTTATGTTTCCAAACTCAGAGAAACTTCTGTGTATTCATCAAAAAATTTTGGAGACATTCTGCACACGTGCAACAATCTTTCTTTAATTTCTCCAGCGGAACAAAAAGGTACTATTGTGTGAAGTGTATCAGCAAAAACAGAATGCAGTTTAATCACTTTGATTATGTCTATTCAGAAACCATAATAGGTGGATGTCTTTAAATCTGCAACAATCTGCTGTTGTTTGTTAAAGAGGGAAGTTGGTTTAAGTGAAACTCTCATTGCTGAGTTTGGCGGTCGTACATCTTCTGCCACAGGGTTATGATTCAGCATTTAGGAGACGTGGAGTTCAAATCTTTCACTGAAATGCATTCTGCACATCAATTAAAGTGCTGGTTTGGATGAGTTGTGATGAGCTGCAGAGATCTCACAGATCCTAAATTTAATATCCATACAAAATCTAACAAGTATTTAAAGGTGGCCCGGTCAGATGGAGGTTCCTAGTTTTCTTTGAGGTCTGATCTAAACGCATTCTGATTTGCGTTGTCTTTTTCGTCTTTGTTTCAACTTTGCTTTTATTCAAAAATTAAAGTTTAAAAACAAAAATACATAAAACTAAAGCGCTGTACCAGAAAATAGTCATCGTTTTTGCTTTTTTCAATGTAGCCTTTGCCAGAAGTGGAAAACTTGTACGTCCCCACAAGATGGCAGTAGTCCACTGAATAGGGGCGTATACTGACAACAGGCTTTTCTCACTGGAAAAATTGGAAAAAATGGAATCTAGAAACAATCTAACTATAGGAAAAAAATTATTTTACCATCTCTTTCTCTCTAAAAATTAAACACAAAGGTTTTTGTGCAAAAGTTTGAGTTTTCAATACTTGAATACTGAATTCTGGAGGAGTGTTTGAATGAGAAAGAGGAGAAATAAACTAAGTGAGCTTCCTTAGGTCAGCAGGTGCAGATCTAGACGACCAGCAGTTGTTTGCCATCCTCAAGCTGGATGGTGGTTCCTATCCTGGTGCTAATATCTGAATGTCTAGACTCTAGACAATAATTTCAAAGTCAACAGAAAACAAAAACAGTTTCTTTTCATTACTTTTTGTCAATGCCAGAAAGGCAAAATGCTACATTGGAATGATTTTCTAAAATTGTTTTTTGTGTTTTTAATTAAAAAAATAAAATAAAATAAAAACTTTACAGCCTGCAAATATTTTCTATTTGAAAGCCTGAGTTGCAGAAACTGAACAATTCATCTTTGAGAGGAAGAACTGAGACTACACATAGCAGTAGCTCCTTCAATCGCTCTCTGTGGGAAAGCAACAAGGTCAAAGACACAATTATTGATTCAATTCTTTCCTATATGACAAAAATCAGAGATAACATTACAATATTAGCAGCTGTAACTCAGTCAAAAGCCCCTTCTACGAAGGAGACAGAACCAGACACCTGGCTCATGTATTTCGCCTGATAAACAACAATAAAACAGAAAGAGAAATCTAGACACGGCATCAAACATTTCAGCTGAGTGCTGTCTGTTAGCTCCCACAGCTGCTGCACAGCTAGTGAGAAGAACATTTTCAGCCGTTGTGTTTTCAATTACTTTGGTTTTATTCTTGCAGCTACATGATCTGAATGTCTGTTTCAAGAAGTTCAAAGTTATAACATATCAATTTAAAGTTTGTAGTTTGACCCTTTAAAGACGGTTGTTAAATTCAACCTTTGCAAAAAAAGCATAAAACGTATAAGCAAAGAGATATACTTTTTTTTTTTTTTTTTTACCCTGATTTTAATTGTGGTTGTTATAGGGACAACAGCACCATCAACTGGTTGATTTTCAAATTACATGCAGGTATTCACAGAGACGTGATAGATCGGAAAAGCAACAGAAAAGCCAAATATTACGCCATGGTTGCATTAGAATGTAATATTACATTGTTATAAGTAATATAATAAGCTAATTTAAAGAAACAAACTTGTTAATGTATAAATAAATCTACGCGATTCCAGAGTAAACTTAGGCTTAAAGACACTCAGAGTTAGGTGTTGTATAATCTGTGAAGCTACAGGCAGTATCTTTCAATGAACAAATTAAATACAATTTATTGCAGCACAAAAATGTTTCACTGAAAAAACTTTGAAAAAACAATTAAGCACATTTATTCAATGGTGAAGAAAACCTACCATTGAAATGTGGTTTTGAAGCTTTAACAAAGTCGCAGGTATCCCAATTATTTACTTCTTGGTAACAATCTGTGGAAAGCGTTTCAATAAATTCCTCTTGTACTGCAGAGCCGTAGTGAAACGCAAGAGAGAGAAAACATTTGGTTCATTAAATTTATTCAGGAAGGCTTCTGGCTGAGTAAGTATACAGACTGAGGGACTTTCTGAGAGGAGAGACAATTAGAGTCTATGAGCTGCAGCTGCATCACTTAAACCTCAGGATCTGGTTGTGGCTTCAGGTTGTGGCTTCAGGTTGTGGAAGGCATCATGGGAGGTGGTGTGGTTGTGGGTTTTAAGTTTGGTGGCAGTTCTGCTGAACAAAGGCTTGCATGGTTGTGATGAACAAAAAACTGTTCTGAATGCAGTTTCCTGTTTGCAGGGTTAGGTTTTCCCATTGAGGACATAAACAGGGGATCTAATGACCAATGGACCAGCTGTGAGCTAAGTGTGAAAGAAAAACTCAATGCAACAACTTGTGGAGTTTACAGTACTAAGGTGTCTTTATGCCGTCAGTCTCGGTAAATTACATGAAGAGTGTTTCCTCCCTCTAGTCAATGGATCCCATGTCGCAGCACCGTGCAAAAGAAGGTAAATGGGGGTTTTCTAAAATAGTTGCTTGCTATGAAAATGACTGCTTTGACAAACTGGTTCTGAAGAATTGGCCCACTATCCTTCATGTTGCAGATGCGGCTTTGCTTGGCAAAACCTCATGAAAATTTTGAAGATACAACCTTTAGCACAGTGTTGCAGTACTCGAGAGCCTTTGTGATGGTCTCATCTCGGACTCGACCACATTTGGTCGAGTCCAAATGAGGGACAAGGATTATGGGTCCCAAATACTAGGTGTGAGAACCACGTAATATGATTGCCACTAATGTAAAAAGTCATTTCTGAAATTTGCATTCCCAAGATTTCATTTCAATCTCAGTTGACTAGCTCTTAACATTTATTTACACAAAGTGGGAAACCAATAAAGTGGAAGTACTGGTGCTATGGACCGACGCCTCTCACAACGTGCCATCCTCTGGGGTCACTGTTTAACATGAATAAATCTTTTAAACTGGAACAACACTTGATTCTGTCTTAAGTTCTGGAAGGTTTTAGAGCCAAACCTTTGCTATAACAGGGCATATCCATTAAGGTCCAAGGTTTTTATGGCCCTTAAATCTGGGTTATTTTATGGCTGTTAGCTTTGACTTTAAAGCTGCTGTCTAATGATGCATTCAGACTCTTAGTATTGAGACTCTGGCTTACACGGATTCATCTGTCTCGGCATGTTTCACACAGCTGAATGTGAATATAACATCTCTGCAGCTGCATTTTAATGTTTGTCATGATGATTATTGATTGAATATTTTCTGACGTTTTTAAAATTCTGACATATTTGTGAAATCAGGTGTTTAAAGTGGACTATTTCCATTGAATTTGGGACATTTTATTTTATTTTTTTGTGCTGTACAAAATTAAATATTGAATGTCTATTACTGTATTTGGTACATTTTGAGCTGTGGACTGTATATTTACTGTTTTCCCAGCTGTTAAGAGTACAAACACATGGCGTCACTAAGACATCAAAATAACTTTTTATCACCATTTCCAGTATATATTAAGTTGTTGACTGGAAGACATGGTCTAATTACAGATGTATTTATAAAGTGAGGCAAGTTATAAATTGCTTGTAATTCCAGAAATGGGGAAGGGAAAGGGATTTACACATCTTTACACATCTTTGGATGTGTAAATCACCAGAATGCTCTCTGTTTGTCCCAGGTCAACAAAGAATCCCATCAGCATTCCACACATACTATCACGTTCCTGCAGAAGACCCTACCCATAATGCACAACAAAAGGCAACTGTATTACAATGGTTCATACAATACCTCCCAACTCAGATATTTCTGCAGCTTTGCTAATAATATGGCTAAAAAGCAATAAGAACTTTGGCATAAGGAACTATTTATCCAAGATGGAGTTTGTAGCTTTATCGCTAAGATCTTCTGGAAAATAAGCTATTTTGATTCTCCAACACATTCTACGTTTATCTTTAAATACTTTCAGAGAACAAAATCCACTATTCTTATGCTGAAAATGTAGAGAGACCAACACTTTTCAAAACCGTAGTTGCTAACCCAAGAGAGTTATCCAGAACACGCTCCTCCAAATTGGAGTTTCCAAATTACGAGAAACCACCGGTCGATATGATTTAGATCTAGGAGTTCTGTGTGTGTGGCTGCACGGTGGTACAGTTGATAGCTCTGTTGCCTTGTGGCAAGAGGATGATGGTTTTAAATACCAGCCTGGGGTCTTCTTGTACAAAGTTTGCAAGTTCTCCCTGACCCTTGCATGAATGAGTTTTCTCCAGCTACTCTGGCTTCCTCCCATTGTACAAAAACACAACTGTTATACTAACTGAATACTCTAAATTACCCCTAGGAGTGTGTGTGCATGGTTGTTTGTCTAATGTGTCTCTATGCCTACATTTCTATTGACTATAAAATTGCACAAATTGGAATTGCAAAAACAAATTCATGTGATTAAAAGAAACCCCCCCCCCCTTTTTTTTTCCCATAAAAGGTTTTTGCACTACGATGAGGTGGTTTCTTCAGCTGTACCAAGATTTGTAAAACTGAAATGGGAAGTCTTTTTTTTTTTTTTTTTGCATCATGCTAATTCGTATATAGGATCAATGCAATTATTTTTAGACAGCAGTAGTGTGCCATGACTAAATAGATAAATACTTAAATACCACCCACACAGCAAAAAACTATTTATTCTGTCTCTTTTATTATGGTGCGATACATAATAAACATGTTATGTTGTCCGTCAGGTTTTACGACCAACACGACACGCAGATAAATATTGTTCTTTCGCGACTCAGACATGCAACATCATCTTGTCTTTAGACTCATCATATAGACAGTAGACTCAAACTCAAGCAGACACAATGTCAACATGTGGGTTGTTGGAGCTGAAAACAATGTGCAAGAATTGACACAAAGCTACGAGAACTATTAATCACACAATGCCAGCAGGGAAAATGTCGGTGTGAAGTCCATTTGTGTTTTTGTTTGTGCTCATGTCTGGTTCACCTGTGTCGTGACCCTGGTTAATTTGCAGCTGTAGCGCCAGATAATAAGCTTTTTATTTGTAGGAGATGAGAATACGAGGTCTCCTTCTATGTGATCATAAACGTATTCATGATCGCTTCAGTATTTCAAAACGAAACCGGCTGTTTACAGTCACACATACGATACAGCAGCTTTGATTTGGATTAGAGGAAGGGGTAAGAGAGAATAAAAAACCACCACATTTAAAGAAAATGCACTTGGTTTTGTTTGTCTTTCTGTGCGACCTTGTCACTCCTCCTCAACCCTCTGCAACAACCTCAGATATGTTCGCCCGCCAGTCACTTGTTTCTTCCACTTACCAAAAATCCGACAAAAATAAGTACATAAATCACAGGTGACAGGAATCGACAGAATGTCTGCCTCTGTTTGGCATATATCCCTCACAGAATGCTTTCTCCTGAGCTACAAATGCTGGGAAAAGCAAGACAAGGCAGTCATGCATAGAAAGAAAAGGTAGTAAGATGGATTCACATTATTGTTACTACAGTATCTTTTGGTGGGGTATCTGACGAACATGTCTATTGGTAATAAAGAGATGAGAACAAATAGGAATATCATTTCAAGGACTGGAGAACTAAGAATAGTCACTCTGGTGGTCAGATGGCAGAATTAGCTTTTTAAGAAGATCTTCACAGTACTCATTTTACACTGTGTGATCATCTGCCATCATCGTGGGCAAAATCTTTTAGTCGTGAAAGAAAGTCCCTGGTCGCCAGCTTGATTCAGAGGTTTGTGGTCTTTCAGGTTGAGAGCAGCAGCACCTGCTGATTTAGCTCCCACAACCAAAGACACCCAATGTCAAATTTCAAGCAGTGTCCACTATTTTCTCGGAAAGTCGTGCCGTTTGACTTTTGCCGTGATTGGCGTCTGATTTTTCTTTGGCCCAGTAATGAATGCCAGATAATTAAATATAACATGTGATAGTTATTTTCCAAACAGGTTTTCTATTTCTTTATATATGTGCAGTCAATGGGAGTTGACTGCATACTGAACAAGCAGCCACTGCTTGCTGCTGAGAATAGGAAGACGAGGTTATGCGTTTTCTGCAATTACAATATTTTTTGGATTTTATTTGGTTAGGCATATGGTCCTCCAGATCATGAGTCTTTTCAATGAATCACGACCCTAAACTCCTCCCAGTACCGTGCAAACCCACTGACATCATAACCGTGCAGCCCACGGTCAGACAGTAATGTTACAGGCTGCTGAATGACTGTGAAGGATTGCTTGCCAGGTGCCGCATATGGTATGGAAAGTGGAGAGTTCACGGAGGAGACACACCGAACATGTTTGAACATGAGGAGGTGTGCTGCACTGAATGTGTGCAAGGTTTTGTGTGCCACTACTGTGTGAAGACTCGTCTCAGTTCAGACTATCTGTGAGTGGGGAAAGTGCACCCCCGTCCACGAAGAGCAAACTTTCAGAGCTAAACACGGCTTTTACACACAGAGACACGCATGCATGTGCATTATGACCCTCATTTGAGCGTTTGTGTCGCCAGGCTCGGCGGACTAAGAGGAGACTTCCCTGCTCAATGTGTCTGTCTCTAAGGGAGTTTTTATGTCTGAACTGTTGTTTGAAGTTGAAGCCGAGTTTGCTAAATTAAATGCAATTGAAAGGCTGGTGTGATGCATGATGCCCATTTAAAGTGAAAACTGGGTAATATTTGCTGCACGTTTGGTCTTCAAGGGGAAAATTGAGGGTCTTGGGATGCTGACCTCAATGGAATGCCTCCCGCAGATGGTGTGCAGGTCTGCAAGAGGGAGGGACACTGTGGTACCAGTCCTGGGAGCCCAGTAGTGTGAGCGGCTACAACTGTTTTCTTAAAAAATGGAGCAACAAACCTCTGGCATTTTTGACGTTGGGATGGACATTTTTACATGACACAGGAGAGTCTTTGAGGAAATGATTTATGCCTGTTTAAACATACCGAAGACCAAAGAATAAGAAATATCCTTACAGCACATAACAGGTTGGCGGTGAAGTCATCCCAGTCAGTGAAGAAATGGAAATTGTAGTAAATGACTTAAGAATCGTGTAAAAATAGCTAGATTAAACATGGAAATGCAAATGTATGGATGCCATGTACCTCAAAATAGAAGAAGAGGATTAGAACATATTTTTGGCTCTTTCAAACCTTGCCCTTATAAAGTTTTTCACACCCTGAGAATTACGAAAGTTTTTGTTTGAGGTTTTGAGTAGAATCAGTCATAAGACATGTGGCAAAGGTCAACAAGCCGGGACTTGAACCTGCCAAGGCCTCTTTGGCCTTGGCAGGTTCAAGTCCCTGCCAAGGGACATAAAAATGAATCAACGTTTAATCAATTAGAGCAGCCCTATGCCTCGCCACATTCAAGTAAAAAGTAGAAAGAAAAAAAAAGAAGCAAGACAGACGTCCTCAGGATAAAACGAACGATATGGATCGCACGCCTTCACCGTGCACAGTCCTTGAGTCACAGTTGTTCAGGCATCACGGTTGGAATGGACCGTGATGCCTTGGAGCAACACGGTCCATTCTTTCTGCACGAAGTTTTCGCGTTCTCCCATTGCATTGACGGGATTCTCTGTGGGCACTCTGGCTCTGTCCCACACTCCAAAGACGTGAAACTAAATATGGCAAGATCACAATCTGATGAAGCCAATAGGATCACATCATCTTCAAAATGCAGAGAGGTGATCCTGAGGCCACCAAGATGGATCTAGTCAACAGGCCGTGCCTAGAAATTCTGTCCATAAAGATTATCAACAGAATTGGTAGCAATAGATAACCTGACGGAGTCCAACTCTCACCAACAAACGAGACCAGCTTACAGCAGTGGAACTGTAAAATACATTCTGTATTATTATTGCCCACTGCCCTTGGACATGCATGCCTTCACTGCCTTGAAGAAGCCCAAAACATCTGTCGCTGATTTCTCATGGCATTTTTCATCTGATTGTCCAACCTTACCATTTCCTCCATCGTTTGGCACTCTACTGAAAATGTTACTATGCTAATCATGAGGTCAGAGTATTAATATTTAATATATGGCAACAGGCGAATTAGAAACACAAGTATCAGGATCTCCCACATTCCCAGAATATGCAGCATGTAGTACATGGCTGCTCTTAGAGCGGTGAATATTATTATTCATATACCAGATTTTTAAAGCTAATTTGCTAATTTCTTGGTCTGTCAAAATCTTTTGGCACAACAGACGTCATTGTTTTGGTAAGCAGATTATAATGCATAAGACTGTAAGTAAGTTGGTCCTCAAATGATTTACCAGAATGAACATACAGTGTCCACTATAATGAGACTTCTTTTCTTCCAGTAATTAAAGATATTAGAGGGATGTCTTGTTGCCTTCCTGGCCATGTCTCGCTAAAAAAAAGAGGATATTAATATATTACATTATATAAATTGAATGTCTTGAAATTTTCATTGTAGCTTTGCAAAGGCGCAACAGGTTAAAATACCAAAAGTGTAACAAGAAAGGAGCTGATTATCCTGGAGTTGAAAAGCATAATACGACCCCAACGATGTACTTGTTCTTGGCAAATGTTCTCTACTGGCTGAGTGACATCATACAGAGCTAAATAACAGCTCACTCTTTTGAATGATCCAGGCTGATAAGGTGGATCATTCACAACTATTGTAGGACGTCTAAATTCCACAACTCTGTGCCTGAAGATGAGGCGACACAGACACTTTTAGATGTTTGCTTCTGTTTGCCAGGCAAATTCCAGCATTGGCTCATGGTAAAGAGGAGCGGAGCAAGGAATGCTGGAGCCTTACCAGCTCCTCAACATAAACTCATCTGAAAATGTGACCAAGCTACGGTTAGGCAACTCATAAACTGCTATGAAAAAACTCAGCGTTGCTTTACTATAGGTTGAATAGTAAAGCAGTGGGTCGAATGAACACTTTTGCGTCTTCAAAAAAAAATTTCACGGCACACTGCATCATATCGCCTAATATCCATAGATCCCTTGCCCTTAACTATGACAGTTTTAGGGCTTGTACCGTTGAGGTTTTGTATTTGCCTGTATAACAAGGTGATCGTGTAAAAGTGCCATGATGAGGTGTGGTGACTCAAATGCAGAGAGAGCAAGTAGATGAAGAATGTTTAAGGAAAAACAATGAACAAAAACAGGAATCCAGGAGCAAAAAGTCAGCAGGGAAGTAACGGGATTTAACATGAGGAACCAGCAAGGAAACACGGCTGGTCTGCTTAAAAACAGAAACTAAGGAACACAGAATAATAACGAAACTAAAATCAATAAATCAAAACACAAAACAACTCCAAAGAACATGAGAGCATATTTCATGCTTCCTTAAGTGTCAGAAAAGTAACCTTTAAGAGACTGTTTGTCCGTTTAGGATTGGGCAGCTGTCTGGGCGGGTCCACATAAATAACTGTGAATGTTACTGAGGACTGAACACGTTAGATCCATGTAAATATTTCAGAAGAAATTTTACTATTGTCACACATTTTGCACTATTGTGGCTCCCAGATAGAGCGCGAAATGAAACTTGTAAAGACTGCCTAACATATCTTTTCACAGTTTTCTTAAATAATACCAATTAACTCCAGTCCTTACAAATACTTAGGAGTTTTCAAAATAATTAACCGCTTAAATACCAGTTTTAGCAATAAGCCTTGCAATTTTGTTTTTGCAAAAAAATAAAAAATAAATAAATAAAACAAATTGACAGATTTATCCATATGTATACGAGAAAGTCTAAATTTCTAGACTTTTTATTCCTTTGTTTAAATGGTGATGACTGATCTGAAAATGCTAATAGGCTAATTGATGTTTTTCCAACTTATAGTTTCGTTTTAGACTTTGTGATAAAATAGATAGTACAGGTGGAAACAACAAGACATGTTTGACTTGGTAAAACAAGGTTAACAAAGCAATAGTATAATAAGTTTCATTCTTCCTATTGGAAATAAACTGTTCAGTGTTGGGGAAGATGCAAGATATGTATTACTTATTTAAGAAACTTTTTCTTTTGTTCTGCTAAAATTGTTGCGTAGGGGACAAAGCCTGTTAATCACCACCGTTGAAATGTGCAGACGCATGAAGACTCAAGCCTCAGGAAGTCACATGATCCGAACTGGTTCGAGTTTTCTTTCATGTGCTGCAGGACGGATGGTGTGAGGCTGTTTTAGGCCCATTGAGGCTTCATTAGGAGAACGGGAAGAGGACTGAAGCACGAGGACAAACACACACACAGCTCATTACCCCCTGTCTGCCGTGTTCCTTTCACACAGCACCTCAAAATGTACGTCTGCAAAGTGTCTCACAGAAGTGCATTTATAGTATTTCTTTGAGCTTCGTGTTTGCAGGTAGAACCGACATAAGAACTGCACTGCTCCATTTAGCGGCATATGGAAACTTGATTCTTTGACTCTAAAAAAAAAAAAGTACACAATCCATGCTGTTGGAGCAATTAAAGCCAAACCAATCACTTCCACACAATTGTTTTTTGCTTTTTCCATCAAGAAGAAGAAAAATGTTTACCAATAAAATGGCCCGTTACGTTAGCATCCATTAACTTCCAAATCGGGCCTAAATCAGTTCCTCTGACTAAGCTGGTGGCTGGTTTTTGGTGATGCAATCAGACAGTCGCCCTTTTACACCCTGGCGTGAGTTTGGAGCCTCTTGTATTCACACACACGCCGAGACACAACCAGGACATTAAGTTAGTCATCAAAATTAAGACAAAGACGCCATCTCTTAAACAGTGTTAAAATAAGAGTGTACGTGAAACAGAAAAGCAGTGCATGAGCCGCACCTCACGCACATTCACACTGTATATATTTAGTCTGTCTGACACGTCAGAGTTAGAGAGATGTCAAAAAGGAAGTTGTTGTACCCGGGTGTTAAAGCCTGAACTGGAAAGACTCTGTCGTCAGAGGATAACAAAGAAGATAACAAAGACCCTCAGAGGAGAAGTGTTTTCAGTCTGAGGCTGAACGTTCCACCGAGATGAAGCTGATTGGCTTTTTTTTTTTTCACACAAGGACACAAGTTTCCCATTGACTTATTCTTATTTTTATGTCGATGTGATTGAAATGTCTTACAGATCTCATCCAATCAAAAATGGCTTTCTTTATTCTTTTCTTTAAATTACTCCCGTTTTAATGTAGAGTTACAGCCTTGCAAGAATGGAACAAAAAGTCAAAGATGCAAAACAACAAAAATGCTATACTTAATAAGAGTAGCATGTAAATAGTTTGTTGGAATCATCCTTTATTGTTATAAATGATTAATTACAGCTTTGATCATAAGGTGTAGAAGTACAGATCATTATTATACTATTTGTAACTTAAAGGATATGTTTCATATTCATTGTAATAGAATAGTTCTTTAATTAAATGAGTTACAGCAACATTTAATCTCCCTTTGGGCTCAATAAAGTATTTTTGAATTATGCAATTCTTCTGCTACTTGTGTTTTTGTTTTTCTTTATGTTTTTCTCCCCAGCTTTTCTAGACTTTTCTTCCACTGCATTCAGTGTTCAACTTATTACATAGTTAACAAGAAAATACTCATGATTCATCATCGTCGTCCTCTGTGTTTGCTTACCAAGCAGATGTGAACATGTTTTGTCGCCATAAATTATGGTCCAGCATATTTTTGGGGATATTGTATTTACTCTTGTCCGATCTGTCCGATCTCCCACCCACCCCAGAGACTCCACCCTGCAGCAGATAAAAGCTCTGTCCACAAGGTGAGGGTTTCTTATTGGCACATCCGCCAGGAGAGGCTCTCTCTGGCTGCTGTTTTCTCTCTTAGTGTGATTGGAGTGATTATTTCCCCATAAACTGGTTCCTCAGAAGGTAGGCTCTGCACCTTATTCAGCTCATCTTTTGTTTGTTCTGATTTTTTAATTTTTTTTTATTTTTGCCATATTTAATTGGGCTGCATGAATGTTGGCTTTAATACATTTAACTTTCAGATCTATTATAACTACATGTCTGTTCCATATTTAATCACAGTTTAAATTATTTTTTTTTCTTATTTAAATGTATATTCTTTGGAATCATCTTTCATTAACCGATGAAGGTTAAATCTTTAATACTGCTACATTCACTTTATCTTTCTAAAGAGGAATAATCCACTTGATATAGCTACATCAAAATTAACAACTTTTAAGAATTTACTCCTGCTATTTGGTCTATTTTCAAAACAAAAAGCTCTGAAAGACTTTAGAAATTTGATCTTTAGCTGTGCAGCAGTAAGTCTCCACATCATCATGCAGAAACCAAGGCAGAACGTCTCCTAACCCAGACTGGAGTCTTTCAGGCTGCTGCATGACACAAACAACTATATGCATCCATGTCTGTGTGTCAGAGAGAGAGAGAGAAGATGTGCTTGAAGGCAAATATTCATTCAGTCCCGTCGAATGCGTGCATG